ATGATACATTTGTATCGTCATCATTATCATCATCATCATCATCATCATCATCATCAAGATCAGCATATTGTAATGTTGGTGTCGCTGGCAATGCTGAATCATGCGACATCGTAGGTGAAGAAATGGATTCTGAATGTCGACCATCGGGGCTTCTACGATCATTCCTTTCAATTTCCATCAATCTAAAAAAAGAATCTAATTGACAAATGTTGTTTACATTAACACAAAAAAAGGCACTTGGTTTGCTTCAACGCTTGAGAACAATGACGGAAGAAAATATCTTTTTTGTTTTTTATTTTAAAATGAAAAGTTCATTAGAAATATTGAATTTATTTATAATTAAATCATTTTAAGCACCAGTAAATAATAGTTCTACTAAACACTCACTTATCCGCTTCTCTAAATGTGTCACTACGTAAGCCACAAAGCTGCTCTCCACAAAATTTATCTTTCATTTAAGCGCATATTGTCATGGAAATATCCTCCTTTATTTTATTTTTTCAATTTTAAACTTTTCTTTTGTACAATATCATTTTCTATTGATATCTTCAAGAAAAATGCTTTATAAAGTTCTTTTTTTTTCTGTAAAACCTGACATCTATACGTTTCCTTAGTAACAAATAAAGAAATATAGCGTCTGATGGAACTAATAGTATTTTTACGAGTAACAGTTATGATTATGTGACTTGTGAAAAATTAAATGATCATTATTTGAATATCTTCAAATAAATATTTAGATTATATGTTATGGCTTCTATGAATAAAGTATCATCGCTATCACTACAGAAATCCTTGCAATCGCCATCATCATCATTAATACAACAACCAATAGATAAGACGAGTCCTCATACATCTTTATCAAAAATTCATAGTCAGAAGTCAATAGTAAAGAAAAAGATTTGTTCAAAATCTTTGATCTATCCAATTGTGGCTTGGTTTTTGTTTATTATCTTGACCATGATCTATTTTATTTTTGTGTAGGTTTTCTAGAGAAATTCATTTATAAACAACATTTAATTGTCAGAGTATGAAAAATTTGAATTAGAAAAACAAACTATGTTTATTTTCATTAGACTTTGAATATATATTTGAGAATGAATGAGCAAAAAATCAAATATTTATCTACTGAATTTTATTCAAATAATTACATATATATATATTTTTTTATCAAGGTGTCCATGGTATTATCACAATGTATGTAAAATAATACCAATATTTCTAGAATTAACGAGAATTTTAAAATGAAAGTAACACCAGGGTTGGAACCGGTCCGGCAAACCGGTACCGGACCGGCCGGACCGGACCGGTTGAAGAAATCAACCGGGCCGGTAAAGACCGGAATTTCACCGGTTGAAAGTTTTCAAAAATCTTCTTTGTTAACCCTGTTTTTGACCATAAAAACTAAGGTGTCACATGTTTTTTCTGTCAGAATACGTAAAAAAGTGCTCAAAACATATGTTATATTAATCGTTTTTTCTGAGGTTCTCTTTAAAAAGGTTCATTACGATGAGTGTCTTTTACCTGCGCCTTAAACTATTTCATATTTGGAGCCATTTTTTTCTAAAAATCGGTTTTCAAAAAAAGATTCGACATTTTTTAACCGATTTTCACTGGAATTTGACCGGTTGGACATGTGATTCCAACCGGCCGGTTTCCGGCCGGACCGGACCGTTTTAATATTTCTCAACCGGTTCCACCCCTGAGTAACACTGAGTCTAGAAACTCTTCTAAGAGCAAACATGTCCTTATCGTAATATCGAGTTATCACGAAAATATTCTTATTTTGATAAACAGTCCAAAATTCGTTCTTGATGAAACATTGAAGAGTTTCTAGTGACAAAAAAGTCTTACCAATGGTGCAAACTTCCAGAGAAAAATTCAATCATCTAGGTTCTCAAGGACACTATGCTCAAGGTAAAAATTACGTAAAGTATCTATACTTTGTCAAGTGAAAACCAAAAAATCAAACCAAAACAAACATTTTTTTAATTACTCATCAACACCGATCAATCAACCTGATAATAGTTTCGAGCTAAAAATAATTTAACAGTTACGAACGTTTTCATCATCAATTTCAACATTTAAATGATCTTTTCCGCCGAGCATGAATCAATAAACTATTCTTTACAAAAAATTTTCTTTAAAAATAAAACATAATTCATAACATTCCTAACTACAAAAACAACAAACATCTAACTCATACAATTATTATCACTAAAAATATAGATATATGAATCAAAAAAAAAAAGAAGAAAGAAAGAATTTATTTAGAATATTAAAACTAGTAAAACTGGTATAATGAGAATTACAAGTTTACTTATCGATACAACTCGGTTACTAAAGTCTTTATCATATGGTATACGGTCCCAATTAATAATACCAGAACCAACTGTTTGACTTCCATATGATTGTGATGAAGCCACATTTAAATCATCATCTTGATCACTACTATCTGTAAATGTAGGTGGTATTTTTTCACCATTGACTATTTCATTTACAACATAAACTTGTGTTGTTGTAGTAGTAGTTTTCTTTGTTTTTGTTCGTTTAGTAGTAGATGCTGTACTACTAACAGTCGAAGTTGTGGAATCTTGAGTTAAATGTTTCGTATACCATTCACTTCCTATTGACTTAGGAACTATTTAAATAAATAAAAGAAATTACGACAAGATAAAAAAAAAAGATTATTTTTTATTTTTGTACTTACGTGAAACAGCATTGCATAAATTTGAATGGCAACACGTTTCAATACGAACATCACTATCAAGTGAGATATCATGTGGTGTACAATAACGACTCGCACATGTTCTATATGGTTTCTGATCAACAAAACCAGCCTTTTAATACAAAAACGAAAAAAAATGAATATTTTCAAAAATTTACATAATAAATTTTTACCCAACATAATTGTGTATTTTTATTGCATGCAATCAGATTATTGTGTTTAGATGAAATTTTTTCACAGTTGCTACCTTTACATGAATAACATAAAAGTTTATTAGCATCTGTTACATTAAATATAAAACTTGATTCAGTAAAATAAATAATACAATATCCTATGATTAATAATTGAATCAGTTGATAATGCATTATTTAACGATTCTACAATAAATAGTTAGATGATAATATACTTTATTATGTCTAGGTATTGTTTTTTTTCTTGTCGTCGTTTGGCTACATATACAACTGTAACCTTGTTTTTGCAATCAAAATTGTCTCACAGCGAATGTGCTAAAAATGTCTTTTTATGTAAAAAATAACCAATCAGGCATGAAGGACAAATAGTATGAAGAAGGTATATCAGCAATACATGTGTCTTGTTTTACACGTTTCAAGTATTATCATAATAATCGATTACATTTATCAATCATATTAGTCCTATGACAAAAAACCTAAAATCAAATTAGTTTAAAACATATACTATATAATATAGTTGAGTATTTCCTCTCAAATAAAACAGTGTCAATTATATTTCATCATAAGATATACATATATATATATATTGAAAAAGAAGAAAAAAGGAAGAGAATAAGATAAGTTTTGTTTATTTTATTCGACTTACACATATGTATGTACCAATTCAAACGAGTAAGAAAAATCTTTATAAATACGGATATCTCTCTGAAAAAAACACAGAACGTGACGGAATGTATTTTAGAAAATATTTCATCGGTTTAAGATAAATAAGTACATATGTTTGATGTAATCAGTAAAATCTTTGTTTATTATAAAACATTCTTTCATTGATAATAATCGATTGTATGTGTTGTAAATCATCGTTATGAATATATTCGAAACAGAGAAGTCTTTTGTACCGATGTGATGATATTTTTTGATTGCCTAAGAAATGTTATTTTAGTTTGTGTTTTCTTTCTTTATTGAATAAATAAACTACGGATGTTTAATCAATGAATATATATAATTTGATCTGGATTCATGGCTTTATATATTTATGTTCCACAGAGCTTAATATTTTGTTTTACAGATACAAGAAAAGGTTTAACATTTCTGTATATATGTTTACAGAAATTTTCATGAAATGGTTCAATGGATTGAAGAACAATTTCATTTTTATTCTTGCCAGATTTTGCTTCTTACTTGTTGAATATTTAATATGTTCATAGTTGGTCTTTAATTCAAGCAGCCAATATATATATTTATATTTATTAACTCATAAAGAATTTTTGAATATATTGAAAAGTAATTTTCTTATTTCTATGATAAGAAACTACAATCTGAAATGATTTGTTTTTCTTCTTATTTAACTTATCCATATTGAATTTTATATAGATAAAAAAATGAATAGAACAAAATTGAATATTTCATCTTAATAATTTTATTTTTAAAACATGACAATATGTCGATAATATGACATGCAATTACAACAGTTTTAAATATTTTTAATTCAATTGATATTGCTAACAAATCTATAAATACTAAATACCTTAACCATATTATATTGTGTAAATTAATTAGACGAATTTCATCATAATATATAACGATACAATTTCATATTGTAAAATAATACAAATAAATATAATATTTAAACATTCATAAAAGAATTTATAAGACAAATATTTTTTTCTCATATTAATTTGTTTTTCTTTTCTCTTAAGAATTTTAAAACTTATTCTCACAAACCCATTTCTATCCTAGGTTTTTTTTGGTTTTATCATCACGTAAACGAAATAAAAAACAAAAACAAAAAAAAATTATTTGTTATGAATCTGAGTGAAATTCTATATAAAACCGAGAGCAGAAGAAAAAAAGAAACGCACACACGAGACGAATGACAAAAAAAAAGAAAAGAAACGTCATATCGATCAACGTCCTACTGTATACACAAAATGAATAAGAATCAAAAACAGAAGCAACACGCACACACACACACACACACATATATATATATATAGAAACAAACAGGAAAAAAACCGATGAGAAAAGAAAAGAAAAACAATGTTTAAAAATTTAGTGCATGTGTGAGTGTGAATAAAAGAAAAACATCAACAATAGTAATCATGGTCGCCAAAGACCAGATTGACGAACAGCTTGTTGAAGAAGAGCTTGTGCACGACTAATCTGTTCTGGTGTTCCTTCAATTGTTATTATTCGATCACCACCACCTGTGCCAGTAGGAATAGGTTGATCATCAATTATAATATTTGCGTTAGTTGCCTGACGTATTTGTTGAATTTTTGCACCGCGTGGACCAATAATTGCGCCTACAAGTTCATTTGGTAAAGTGACCTTAAAAAAGAAGAGATATTAATAAAATAAAAATCAATCAATCAAATAACTTACACGTGTTGATGTAAGTAATACAGGATTCGGAGGGCAACGGGGACCTAAACCTGGTCCACCACCATATGGTACATCAACAAGAGCAGGTAAAGGTTGTATAGGATACATACCACCACGTGGTCCACTCGGTGGATATGGTCCTCGTGGATTATATCCAATACGATTATCAACACCACCTGGAGGTGGAAAACCGCCTAAATTAAAATTTAATTAAAAGAATTGATTTCGAGAAATAAAACAAAAACCAACTAAACAATCTAACCATATTCATTCACAGTATAAATATCAAAATTATGTGGATCATATTGAATTAATAGTGCACCTCTTGGTTGTTGTGAAGATGAACTCATCAATGAATAGATGTGCTAAGAAGAAAGAAAGAAAGAAAAAGGAAATATATTTTAATCATTTGTTTATTTTTTATTTCTATTCATACTTTAATACATTCAATAATATCATCAATTTTTCCACGTAATGATATAACTCTTTCATGACTTAATGGACAACATAATGAAAATACTTTTATATCAAGATTATATGTTTGTCGTAATTCTTTAACATGTTGTCCACCTTTACCAATAATAGCTCCACAATAAATTTGATAAACAAGTATACGAATTTCTGATGGTATATCACCTGTCGTTTGATTATCATCATTGGATTGATTTTGATCGGAATTTCCTCCTGTTCCACTTGTATTCATATTACGTCGTCGATTAAATGATGAAAGACGTGAACTATCAGTTAAAACTGGAATTATTTGTTGTAAAGCATCAAAACATTGATCATTTTCACCATTTATAATTAATACACGTTCAGGTGATGCACAATCAGGTACTTGAATTATTGTACGTGGATGATCAGCACGAAGTTTTTGTATTGATGAACCACCTTTACCTAAAAAAAGAGAACAAGCAAACAAACAAACACAAAATAAAATTTATAATTTTAATAATAATACATACCAATAACAGCTCCAGCATCACGAGAAGTCATTAAAATACGTATTTCAATACCGGTTGATGATGGTGAATAAGGATTACTGCTATTGCTATTCATACGTCGATTTCCACTTGTTATACTAATACTACTATGACTGTTATTATTTGATGCTTGACCATAATCATCATCGGGCGATGTCATTTTGTTTTTTTATTTTTTATTTTTTATTTTATTTTTTATTTTTTTTGTAAGAAAAGGGGAATATTGGATTGGGATAGGCACTAAGACCTGATAAGTATATGATGGCAAACACAATCAAATAAGTCTTGAAAAAAGAACATAAAGGAAAAAAAAAATTATATAATATTTAAGTTTTGAACATGACAAAAAAAAAAGAAAAGAAAATAAAAGAATGGATATTTATAGTTCAAATAAACATGATTTTTTTATAACACGGCAATGCATTTTCTTCTTAATGCATTGATTTTGAACTACTGACCATTGAAAGAAAACTGAGACAGAGGACGCTTTTATTTTATTATTAATATTATTATATTTTACATATTATTTTTCTATTTCTTAATTCAAAAAATAAGAATTATATTAAATAAAAACTTTTGAAATTATATTCATTCGTATAGTAATCTCCATAGTAACATCAATGAAAATGTTGTGGTTGAAAGTATCACATAAGTAAAATGTTTTTTCTTTTTGTTGAGATTTATATAAATAAAATCTTGGTTTTTTTTTTGTGAATCATTAGACTTAAATAATGATCTTTTTAGATAAAATTGATTGTTTTGTTTATTAATTCGTCATAATGGAAGAAGATTCACCAGCAGCTGTTGATATTGTTATGAAATATGCAACATATGAAGAATTTCTTGATTCACAAGTTACTCGTTTAGATCTAAGTTATCTTGAAGTATAAAAATGAGATATTGTATTAAAAAAAAACAAAAAAAGAATTTCGATGATTTATTTTACATATTAGGATGAAGAATTAGCTCGACAACTTGTTGAACTTGGCTATCGTGGTAGTGGAGAAGTAATTAAACGTGAAGAATTTTATGCTCGAAAAGCAACTGCTGAACAATTACTTCTTTCACGACGTATTCAAGCACCGTATGTTTTCTTTCAAGAACAAAAAAAAAAAACCAACCACAAAAGTCTCGAACGAAAATCTATTTGCGTCATTTTATCATTTGAATATCTTTAATCAAGCATGCTTTTCTATATTTAATTTTCAAAAATTAAAATAGATTTTATAGCCTTCGTTTTGTATGATAGTATAAAATAGAAATATGCTCAGTCAATTAATGTATCCATTAATAAGTTGAATGATTTGATAATAGTTTCTTAGAGTATTTTTAAAATGTAGCAGTGCTAGATTTGTGTGTATAGTGATCAAGGCATCCAAACATATGTTAAAGTCATTCAGACTAGTAATCTTAATTAATTCATCACTTTTATTAGACTAAATTAGTATGTGTCTGAAAACGTTCTTTTTATCTTGAATTTTACTTTCAATATAGAATTTTTATTTTTTCGCTTGTAAAACAAATATATAAACTCACATGAGATATACCATGGAATTTAAATTAGTATGTTCTTTATAATTACTTAACGAAAACTTCAAAAAATCTAGCCATATGATTTTTGATTAAATACAATTTATATAGTTCACTTTATTATCAGTTGTAGCAGTCATTCATATATTAATAGAGTCTTTCTAAATTTTGTCTTACAGAACAAAATTGTTTATTTATATTCTATTTTCTTTTCTTTTTTTTGTTACAGAAAATTAGCTAGTGCAAATAAAGAAATAACTGAACCATTATTACGCGAACTTGCTGACACTGAAGAAGCTAATCGAACAGGAAAAATGACAGTAGGTTATTTTGTTTAACTCTCTCAATCAAATTATTTATGTATATTGTAGACAATTATTTTTATTCGTGATCGAAATTCTCGACAACAAGAAATATCTGGTTATATAGACTACGCACATCGATTAAAATCTGAAGATTTTGAAGTATTTTTTGCTGGAAAGAAAAAATTATTACCTAAACCAAGTGATCTTAGGTAAAAAAAATAAATTCTTTTTTCTTTTCCGAGATCCATGGTCAAAATCGATCTTGAACCAGGAAAATTCCAATCATATGAAACTTTCCGAGTATGTTGGAGCTGTAGTTAAGAGGCTATGGTAAAATTTTCAGCTCTACATCACAACATTTTCATGAGATTATTATCAAACAACGGTCAATAACAGTAGGCCTCAAATTCGGACCACTTTTTAATGGGCCGGCTCAACTTAGAATAGCACTATTAAAAATATTTTTCTTTTACAAAAAGGATTTCTACACAATGAAATTTCACAATAACTGAAGTCATTTATTATCATAGTGATCACAAGTTGAATAAGATCAAAGAATTTTAATGTTTGAAAAAACGGCATGAGAAATAAGTTGAATTACTTATTGAACCGAAACACCAAGATCCATTCATGGATACTTCAAGTTTTTGAAGACTGTCATTTTATTAACATGAGTTTTCACGAATAAAATGCAAGCTGATCAATTGCAAAGATTTGTATCGGTTAATATTTTTAGTTACTATGATAATCTTAGTATAGAGTTAACACTGTCCGTATCAGTAACACCAATGTTGGTTAATGCACTTGATAATGTGCACGATCTTGTGTGTAAATGAGGAATGTCATTGAACTGAATAAATGCTCTGCTCTTAGTTTTTGTCTAAATGAAACTTGCAAAATGATTGTTATCAGTTGCAAGGTGGAAAACCCATGTGAAAAACTTTGATGAAAAACAAGAATAACATCGATTAAAATTATTTTTTGTTTTCTGTTTTCTTACGTGAGAAATCTTCCTGGAAAAAAGAAATAAAGCTCGAACCAGGCAGTTCATTTTGAGTCCTAGTATCGAGCTGAAAATTTCATATGACCTAAATGTTCCTGGTTTAAAATCAATTATGGAGAGGACGGGAAAGCTTTCAAAAAAAAAACAAAAGAAACTTCGTTTATTTCATTTTTAGTTATTACAATTGGGAAAATCAAATATGTTGTTCAAATAATACACCTAATTTTCAATTAATAACAAATCATCTTGACGGTTTATTATTTAAAAGTAAACGAGATAGAAAAATAATTATTGTTGATCCAAAGGCTCAATCATTTGGTGATAACACTACACGAAAAGAAATTAAATCAGATAAATATATACAAGTTATTGTTTATCGTCATTCAACTCGTCGTAAAACATAAGACTAAAACAAAAAAAAACAAATTATTGATTCATTT